CTTACATGCTTAACAGTTAAGAGTTGGAAGAATGATCACCTTAACTATGTAGCAAAGTTTTAGCATCATTTAGGTGGAAATATTTCTGGGAATGCAGGTAACTAGTTAAGATTGCACAGCAATGATTCCCTAGCTTTTGGTTCAGTGTAATAAATACCTCCCTATTTTCTCTTAGTTAATGTACAGCTTCACTGACTGAAGAAAAAGATGATTTTGCAGGCACTGTCTCCTTTTTTAGCCACATGTCCCCACTTTGTTTTTTGTGGCCCAAATAGCCTGTGGCTTTGAAAGTGTCCAGAAGTGGACACTAAGTTGCTGGTTTTTATATCAAACACAGGTGTTGTTTACCTATGATCTTGATAGTCTGCCTTAGTATTGCACCTTTGTTAGTCTGAGTTGGGATTGCAGTAGGAAAAAGTTGTTAGAGCACATGTGCAGTTGCAGTGTGAGTTGTAATGTCATAATCTTTCTGCACTAGAATTATTATAATTATTCCTATTTCTGAATGATAAGATATGGTCTGTTCTGAAAGCTCGTGAAGCAAGTCTTAAAATTCATCCAATTCCCTCTTGGGTGAGCTTCACAGAAACAAGCCCTTTTCATGCTTGGCATTTTAAAACCAAATCCCTTGCAATAAATAGTTAAAACCAAAGGATTAGGATGAAGATGAAAACCAAGCCTCTTAGGTGGTGAATATTTTTGATGTAACAACTGTTGACTGAGGAAGCAGCTCTGAAACTCCAAGGTGCTCTTTCATTTAGGGAGGTCCTGAGCATGGAGGCAAGTTGACCCAAGACTTGCTGGAGCTGTGCAGACCTGCAGGACCTCCAGGTGCTGTGGAGGATGATGATGCTGGATGCTTCATGCTCTGAGCAGAAATTAGGTCAAGTTCAGTGTACATGTTGGGAAAGGTGGGAGCTAATTCATACGGAGGCTTGAAATACAATTCATAGGATTTATATTTGGAAATAAACTTAGTACAGCAGCAGTTTAAAGGGAAATAACCCATTTCCTGCTGCATGAGATCACAGAATCACAGAATATTAGGGGTTGGAAGGGACCTCCAAAGAGATGTTCAGAAGTTACAGAATAAACACATGTACTTGCCCCTGTTTTTCTTCTTAGTCCCCGCTGATGACTATGTGAAAGGAAATTAAATTTTACTTAGGGCAGGCATTCCAAGTCAAACCTTCCAAGTTAAAGCTGTTGCTCTGGTTTAAGAGGAGGCAGGAGTGATTTATAGTGTAGCCATTCCAATTTGCTCATAACTGTGAATGTGCCTTTTTTTCCTTGGATATAATGGAGGTTTTATGGCTCAAGGATTCTATAAACCATAATTCCATCTAAAAATTGTGAGGAAAGCAGCAGAAATTATTTCATGTATGATACTATGGTCTAGTAGTGGTCTAGGCAGTTTTTTTCTTTTATAATTTAGAGGAGTTTTAGTGCTTTACATTAAACTGAGAACACTGAATATGGCTTTGTCAAGAGAGAGAGATGAAGTGTTTTCAGTCTAACCTCTCAGGAAAATAA